CACCTGCATGAGCACACACCCAGATAATATATTTCTTTATTAAATATCATGTGTTTATTACTAAGCAAGGTGTTTTAGTTGATTTCTCTCATCAAAATGGCTCAGACCTTCATGTAATATAAATGAAACTTATAATTCAATAAAAAATGAGAGTTAAATATTACTCAGGACATTGGCAGGGAGCAGGATTCCATTTCATCTATATTTCTAAGGCATGAGCGTCCTAGCTTTGATTGATAAGTTTGAGTTTAGTTTGTCTCTTCAGTAGCACAAAGTCCCAGTACTTAAAAAGAAGTTGCAAGTGTTTCTTCTTGCACAATGCTATATTTGCAGTAGACAAGGTCTTTATTTTATGATTATATAAAAGGGCTTAGATCTCAGTCCACATTTTTATTTTTATGTGTATCAATGTTTGCTTGCAAGTATGTAAGTACATCACATGAGTGTACATGTGTGGAGACCAAAGGGGAAGTTGGATCCTCTGGAACTGGAGTTACAGAAGATTGTGAGCTGCCATGTGGGTGCAAATAACCAAATCTAAATCCCCTACAAGAATAGCAAGAGATTTTTAACTGCCTAGCCATCTTTCAAGCTCATATCCAGATTTCTATTAGGCCATTTAATTATTAGAGAGTTAGGTTAGCTTTGTTGTCTACAAAGATGATTAGCAAAAATGAATGGATAGTTTTTTCCTTAGAAGGCATAATTCTAAATACTTATAAATTTGATTTAATTTTATGACTTTGCAACAATGAAAATATATTGAGAATATTAGTTTTATAAAGTAAATTATAAAAATTGCAAGCTATAAAAATATAATTATTATCCCTTTAAGCATATATTAAATTTTCAGGTGACCATATGATATTAAAATTATAAACTTTCATTTTTTCAGAGTGTTAATTTGCAATTCACCTAGCATTTGGAAACTGTCAAAGTGAAAAACAAGGCCCTTTTTATGTGTATTTAGAGTAAATGATCAAACTAAAACTAACAAGAGATATGAAACTGAATTTGAACTCCAGATAACAGACATTGTTTTCAATAGTTATAAATTACAGGGTAGATACAATCTACAGGATCCTTGCATGAGAAGAAACTGAGATGGGTTTACATTTGTTTTTGGAAATTGATCTTTATATAGGATTATAAGTTCTCATAGGGCTTTATTATATTAATTACAAACATTATTAATATACCAAAGTTATACTGTAAAGAAAATAATGCTTGTGATATAATTGACAGCTTTTATTAGCAATAGCTAGTGATAAGAATGGAAAGATGGTTTAGTGGTCCAGAGCACTAGCAGTTCTTACAGAGGATCCTGGTTTGCATCCCAGCACCAATATGGTGGTTAACATAAATCTGAACTCTAGTTGCAGAGTATCCAATGACCTTTTCTGGCCTTGAAGGTCATTTCACAACATTTGTGCACTTACAATCATGCAGACAAAACACTCATGCATGTTAAATAAAAATAATAGTAATAATAGCTTTTTATGGAATATAGTTGCTTCATGAAATTATCATGTACAAGTTATAGCATCATAATTAAATAAGTGAATTTAAAACCCTCTGGTATAAAGTGTTTGTATATCAGTTCCCTCTTAGAAAACACTTGTCCCTTGCAAGTTTTACTAAGACTTCCTGGACTTACCCCTCAATGTCAAATATATGCATATATATTTCCATAGTGGAAACTTTTGCTTTCTGTTGTGATTTTTGAAATAATTTGGATAGAGTTACATATTAAATATTTTAACTAAATAAAGGACTAAATACAAAGGAGATTCTTTGTGTCACTTGAACCTCAGTACTATAGGCATAGCTCAGTGGTAGAAGCTGTCTGTCTAAAATGTTTGAGGCCCTATGTTTAATTCCCATTTCTGAAAAGAAAAATGAAAGAAAGAGAGGCAGGGAAAAGCACACATATAACTGAGAGTGAAAATTAGCTCTCCAGATAACTAGAGAGTATTTCTCATGTAATTGCCAATGTGTTTATAGGAGACAAATCCCATTGGCAGTAAAATAATTAACTATTCCCCAGAATCCCTTGGAAATGCACACATTTGGGATATCAGGTATTAGGCCCCTAATGACTTGAAAGTGTATATAAAAGCCTTTTATTCTGCAGGTGAAAATATTCATTAAGAAAGTGATGTGCACCTTTGTTTTGTTTTATTTTGTTTTGTTTGATAAGTAACTTTTATAGTAGTTTGACTGGTTTTCAAGACATAAAAATTAAGTTTTGTGGATCAGAGAGAAAAAATCACTGATTTATTTACAAATTGGTAGGAAAAAAAAACTTCTCAATTCATTTTGTCTGCACAGGCAATTCATCTATTACCACTTTTTCTGTTAGCAGTTGTGAAGCCGTGTGTAACATCTGTGTGTAAATATACTCTTCGTTGTACGTAATTTCCCATGCTGCCTATCTGATTTCTAAATATCTTGTTTTATAGTTTAATATTGCTCGATGCTTGGGAAGAATTGTGTACATCACATTTGTAATTCGGTTTTTGGTTATTTTCATTTTAATTCCAAGTTCCAGTGTTCCCTGTTTTCTGTTTCCTGTCCTTTCTCTGCCCTTTATCATTTCTCTTCTTGGACTTCCACAGGGGATAATTGATTCTAAGTTCCCAAGAGTGACTGCCCTGCTGTTTCAGGCATATGCGAAACATTCTTCATTCTGCCTCCATGTCATCCAAATATGACACCTGACAGCCTTAATGCTTCATCTTCCTTGCCTTTGATTTAGAATCAAAGGAATTTGAATCGCACAGGTCAACTCCTAGCTGATTGTCCTTTCATACTACTCTAAGCATTTATGTACTCACCAGACACTTGATGTGAATAAGAATGTAATTTATAGAAAGCTAATGCATCATGCAGTTTTAGAACAGGATCTTGAAACTCAATTCTGTTTCTATCATCATTTTATTCCCCAGTTATCTCTTTCTTCCTTTGTTCAGTCATAAGATGAGCTGATAATGACGGTAAATCTTACATAATTTTTGTAGTCATTTTGGTGACAGCCAAAATGTTCGCAATACTGCATTACATATAAGTAGTAGTACAGAACCAGTAGTTATTTCTAATAAAACTGTGAAGGTGTCTGTGGTGATAATGTAAGAAAAATAAATGGAACCCGTGAAATTAAGTCATGCATGCCATTCTGTCCAAAGAGTGATGCATGGAAGTACAAATGGGAAAAGGATGGATAGAGAATAGATAAATAAACAAAAATGTAGATAGGTTACAGAAGCACTGTATGTTATTTGCCACTTCTGCCTTACAAGTTGTAGTTTATATCAAATTACACAAAGTTGTATAGTTCATATATGTTCAAAATACACTATACCTAAACCCATAGTACCTTTAAAGTATTGTCTTTTTCTAATATTTTATTAATTTAAAACCAGACAACAAATACTAACTGAATTCTCTCCTGGTGGAGAAGTGTATGGCTTCCTAATTCTTATGAAAAAATACAGGTGAAAGGTTAAGAGAGCATCTTAGACTTCAGCCTTCTGCATCATCAGCTTTCTGATCTTTAGAGCTCATGACTTGGGGTTATTTTAATCATTAACTATAACAAACAAAATAATCATCAGTGACAATATGATAGCATCTATTACAGTAAAAAAAATCATACAAAAGAAATTTTCTTTCTTTTAGGGATCTGTGGACTAACATTACGATAGGTACTGGAAGTTTTATTTGTTTCTTTTATATTTTCCAAAACAATATTCAAGGTTAAGTACAGATTGCCTTTATTTCAAGATTAAGTGGAATTTTTGAAGTCTTTAACAGTCTACTCTTTGAAATACCTTCAGAAAACAATGCTTGAAAGACTTCTCAGATGCAGAAACTTCTACTACAATAAAAATGCTTCATAATTTTTTGTTATTACAATTTCATTAATAATGACACATAACTTAATTTTTTAGAAATTAATTTATAACTGAATGTTCAATCTTTATTCAGTGAAATAATTGATTCTCAGTGGGGATTTTATTGAAGCCAGTAATATTTGCCAAAGATATTAAAAAAAGGCCAATTTTATCAATTTAAATTGATATATGGACAAAATTTTAGGAATTATTCTCAATTATTTCCTTTTGAAACATACTCAGAATTTGTTTATTTAAAATTGCATAATTTACTAGTAATAATCTGTTTTTTAGTTTGAAATATAAACACTTATGTAATATGTTTTATGTCACTTTATCTGCACTAACAAGTGGTAAAACAATTATTTATATATATTTATTTATTTATTATTTTTCTATTTATGAATATATTGCCTTCAAGTATGTAAGTGCACCCATGTTGTGCAATGCCTGCCTGCAGAGGTCAGAAGAAGGTGTTGGATGCCCTGGAACTGGTATTACAGATGGCTCTTAGCTGCCATGTGGGTGTGGGAAGGAGACCCTGGTCCTCTGCAAGAGCCCAGTGCTCCTAACTACTGAGCTATCTCTCCAGCCCCCATTATAGTATCTTTTGAGGGGGGTTGAGAAAGGGAGTTTTAAACACTGGGCCTAAGGAGAAAACTGTTTTAAAACTCTTCTTTCAATAAACACTTGGTACATTAATTTTATATAACATATACTTTAGTTTTCCTTTTAAAATCATCAGTCTATTCATAAATGATGTCTAGTCTGCTTAGTCAGCTACTGTGTTATTGTGTTGCAAAATTAAATAAAAACCATGTATTTCTCCAACCCTACTACACAGGGAACTAATCATTCAATTCCAGAAATAGAAATGAATCAAATTAAATAAAGCATGCAACCATGAATTCTGGTAGTTATAAATTCTGAAATATATCTCTTAAAAATATATTTTAAAGTAATTTCAGTTATAGACCTTTCACTTTATTATCTGATTCACTGATTTCTAATTTGCATTTTAGACTAATTCCCAATTATTTCACTTTTTCCATCCATATAGTGTTTTTAGGATTTTAGAGTTCTCAAAAAGAAAAGAAAATCGTTTAGATGGAATTTACAAATGGGAACTGCACCTTGGTCAATGAATTCATCCTGTTAGGTTTTCCAACGAGGCCTGAACTCCAGATCGTTTTATTCCTTGTGTTTCTGACATTGTATGGTATGATTTTAACAGGGAACATTGGCTTGATGCTGCTAATCAGGACAGATCCGCACCTCCAAACCCCCATGTACTTTTTCCTTAGCAACCTCTCCTTTGTAGACCTTTGTTACTCTTCGGTGATTGTTCCCAATATGCTGATCAATTTCCTCTCAGAAAAGAAGTCGATATCTTACTATAGCTGTGCACTGCAGTTTTATTTCTTCTGTGCGTTTGCAGACACTGAATCTTTCATCTTGGCTGCCATGGCCTACGATCGCTACGTTGCCATCTGCAACCCTTTGCTGTACACTGTTGTGATGTCCCGGGGTCTCTGCATATGGCTGATTGTGCTGTCATATATTGGAGGCAACATGAGTTCTCTGGTTCACACGTCTTTTGCCTTTATTCTGAAATACTGTGACCGAAATGTCATTAATCATTTCTTCTGTGATCTCCCTCCCCTGCTTAAGCTCTCCTGCACAGACACGTCAGTTAACGAGTGGCTGCTCTCCACATACGGCAGCTCCGTGGAGGTTATCTGTTTCATCATCATCATTGTCTCCTACTTTTTCATTCTTCTCTCAGTATTAAAGATCCGTTCTACCAGCGGGAGGAAGAAAACCTTCTCCACCTGTGCCTCGCACCTGACCTCTGTGGCCATCTACCAGGGTACCCTTCTCTTCATTTACTCCAGGCCCAGCTCCTTGTATTCTCCCAACACTGACAAAATCATATCAGTGTTCTACACCATTATCATCCCTGTGCTGAATCCACTGATTTACAGTTTGAGAAATAAAGATGTAAAAGATGCAGCCAGGAAAGCTCTAAGATCTAAGGTAGATTCTTCCTGACAAGCACCATTTAAAGATTCTTCTGACTCTGATGACAAACCTTCAACTGGGAGCTTGCAACATCTTTACCAGCAAATGCACAAGTGTTCAACGAAAGAATTAAGCAAACACTTTTCTTATAACAAAGCCAAATGCATTTAATAATCCCATAATATAAGTACACGTTAAAGAATACAAAGTGAAGGTAAATGTGATGAGATGTATATGCAATTTCAGCATACAAGAGGCAGACATAGGAGGGCCATGCATTTGAGGCCAGCCTGGACTACGTAGTGAGTTCCAGATCAGCTTGAACCACATATTGTGAGTCAATCTTTCTATATCTGCCTCTGCCTTTGTCTCTATCTCTTTCTCTCTCTCTGTTTTTCTGTCTCTCTTTCTTTCTTTGTATCTCTCTCAGCCTCTGTTTCTGTATCTCTCTCTCTCTCTCTCTCTCTCTCTCTCTCTCATAGATATATACACAGACACGCATTTGAAATAGCAACTAAAAGATGCTATTCTATAGATGTATAGACCTTCTTCCTACTTTGGGGACATATATTAAAATGGAATGGAAAATGTTGTCTTTAAAAGAGCTATGATTATCTCAGAAAAAATGTTTTAAAGTATATGTATTTGTGTATAGTATATCGCCCACAATATAAAGTGCTAGATAAGGGAAGAGGCTAAATTTCTTTAAATTTTATATAAAGACTATACTGGATCATAATGACACATTGAAGACTGAAGATGTCACTTATGTTTTGTGCCTGAATTAACTTATTTATAAAAATGAGATTGAAAAATGTACCTGCATCATTATTTGTTGAAGAGTTAATTGAGGTAATACAGTCAAGTGTTGCAAATTTTGCCTAAGTAGTTTAAACATTTAGAAGGTTTTTATAACATATGTTTATATAATATTCCTTATTGCATAATACATGTTTATGATATATTTATATATTTGCATCATATCTTATAATATTGAATATTAAATTAAAATGAATAATGTACAATAAGATAGCAACAGGCAGGGATTTTAAGGAAACAATAATCAATGACAAAATCTGTTTTAAATATAGTTTAATAACTCTGATAATGTTTTATATGTAACCTACTCTGCAAATATATTGGGAACTCTTTCTAAGTAGCTTGACCTATATATTACTTATATTGAAAACTTTTTGTATTATTTTTACTCTATCTCTAAAATTTTAATACACCAAAGTATTGTTTAAGTTTGAAGCAACCTTCTGTTGCATCACAAAAGCAGACTAATATACAATGATATAATAGAATCATGCTTGGTTCTTATAGGAGCTCACATTTTAGAGACTGCAGTTTTAAAATGCTGGAACTGATAATGACTACGGGTACTTTTGAATTTGAGACTGAATACATTTTACACTGTAAGATGGTTATAATCCATCCTATGAGGTCAAGGGTTGGACAATGCGGTGGTTTGAATGAGAAATGCCCCTCATAGGCCCAAGTATTTGAACACTTGGTATATGGTGTCCAGTTGGCAACTCTCTTTGCAGAGTTTTAGAATGTGTGGCCTTGCTGGAGGAATCATGGTTCTGAAGGTGTGCATTATGGGTTCATAGCCTGGTTCCACTTCAGCTTGCTCTTTCTGCTTCCTGCACATGCTTGACGATGTGAGATCTCAGCTTCCTGTTCTGACAACCTCATGCCAATGTCTTCCCTGGCATTATGGACTGCCCTTTGGAAGCAGAAGCCAAAATCAACTCTTCCTTCTATAAGTTGCTATAGTTATAGTGTTTTATCACAGCAACAGACAAGTAACTAATACACAAATTATGGCTTAAAGGCATCAAACTGACAAGGAGTAGACTTGTGAAAATTGGTATTAATTGTCAGTTTGACAGGATATAGAATCACCTAGGAAATAAAGCTCTGGACACACTTTTGAGGTAGCATCTAAATTCAGATTATTCTCTGAGAATGTTTGTGAAGGAACATATTTTTATGTTATCCCATATGAGTAAACTTATCTTAATGCTTACTGGAAGATTTCATTGGCCGAGAATCTGGACTGAGTTGAGCACTAGCAGGCATCCTTACTCTCTGTTTTTGACTCTTGATACAATGTTGCCAGCTGCTTCAAGCTTCTGCTGTCTTGGCTACCCCACCATAATAGACTTTACAGCAGACTGTGAGCCAGGACACTGCTACATTCCTTTTTTTTTATTATGTAGCTTTTATCAAGGTATTTTAATCACAGAATATGGAAAAAAAACCCTAAGACGGACAGAGTTCCAAAGCTGATATTTTCTGAGCTTTTCTTCCATCTTGCCCTGGATAGATCCAGGATGACCCATTATTCCTGAAAGAAGGACATTGACAGACTAAATGCAGCAACTCCTACAGTTTCCAAACAAGGCTTTGTCTTTCTAATGATCTTATTCCTGAAATCATTCAACATTACATTCCTAGGTTCCCTAGGCCCACACAAAATAAAGTTGTAGAAATACTCCCTTTGTCCCAGAAACACCTCTGTATATTCACAAAAATAAGTATGCAGTTGAGAGCCAATATGTGCTATAAATCTTCTCTCCAAGTTGTATACAATGTAAGTAAATAGCCATGCCTATCTGCATTATGAAGATATAAGAAGCTGGAAAACACATAAACATCCCAACTCCTCAAGCACTGTCTAGATAGTCTGGATCCTGCCTTAAGAATCTTGAGTTATTCACGGAATATTTTGCATTTTACATTCCAAAGGACACCAAAAAGAGACAGCCATCTGAACACACACACACACACACACACACACACACACACACACACACAAAACAAAAACAAAAACAAAAACAAAAAACAAAAGTGTCTTGTTGGGTGGACTGATGACATCCTTCTCCCTCATGAAGCAAGCCGACCAAGAAAGAATTAAAAAACTAAGATAAATGAAGACAGTATTAAAAGCAGGAGCATTTACTTATGTTGATTGAAGTAAGCTAGATTCAGAAAGGAAAATGTAAAACGTTCTCACATATGAGGCATTTAGATGAAATACATAGAAACCAGGATTTCAAATGCACCGCTGGATGAGAAAGGGGTAGGCAGGAAGGACAGTGAGGAAGGCCTGAGGGTGTACATGTCAAAGCATACAACACAGATGCCAGAGAACCTCACAATGAAATCTGTACCTCTTCATAATGAAAATTAATGATTTTGAAAAGTCTTAGAATCAGGGTAAAATATTCATAAATATTAGATTTGTTGACAGATTTATAGATGTTTTCACTCTTGTATCTCAGTTTTTCAAATCTTCTAAGAATGATGTCAAAAGTCCAAAGCCTTATTTTCAAACAAATTTATAGAAAACAATAGAGATTATAGAACTTAATGAAAAGATTACCATTAACATAGATTTTTTTATTTTTTAGAAGAAGCATTTCATTACAGCTTTAACATACTCAATAACAATTTCCAGAGCAAAGATACATCTCTTTCAAAAGTGTCTACAAAAGTTTTAGGTTCACAGTTGAATTAATATAGTTATACAATATCAAACAGTATAAATCTTGTAAGACATAAATTTGAATGAGTTTTATAATATTTAGAAAAGAGCTCCATTTCATTTTAAAATATACTGTTTCTTACAGAAAGACTCATTGTTTTTGCTAATAACACTTAGACATTGGCACATGCATCTCTAACCTGTATGTATCTGACTAACTATTCATAGTTAGTTGCACTTGGATCCTTAGCATCTGTGTATGGATATACAGTAATCAGGTACATTTCAAAAGTAATGTTTATCACCTCTACTAATGAACATGATGTAAATTTTTATGCTTCCTCCTCAAATATAACTCATTTTTTTAATTTGTTGACTTTTCTCTTTGTATATCACACACAACATCCCAAACCATCCTATTCATCATTACACCCACTTCCCAGATGGCACCTTCCCATAGCCTCCCCACCCCGACTTGAACTCTTATACGTTGTCATCTCTGTTACTGTCTGCTGCATTGTTGGCACCCCAGCAGTCCCCCTCTACTTTTCCATCTGCTGAATCTAGTCAGCCTATATAGAGGTCTTTGTTTTTGGAAGATCAGCTGTTTTGCATCTAGCAACAATCAGTTGTCAGGAACTAACCTTCTTGGATGTTTAACTGACATACTTTAAGGCCTATACTAATTTGGTCAGAGGACAGTTTTTGCTCCTTGCCCTCCTAGGTCAACTACTTCCAGGGTACTATGAGCATCTCTCAAAATGTTCTTTAACTATGGTGAGTCACCAGCCCTCTTGATCAAGGAGGCCGTGGAGACCCCACCAGATGAACTAGAACCAATGTCCAGTCTCCAAATAGGAGGGTCAACACAGAGGAATCATTTCCTCCATGCTTCCAAGCAAAGCCAGCAATAGTCGAGCAGGACCGTTGATTTATCTTCACATAGGCAGAACTGGTAAAAGGAAGGAGCCAGGGGTTCCTCCCAAGCCCATGTGACCCCTGAAGAATAGATCCTCAAACGGCCTTAAGAGTAAAAATAAATTGGTTTATCTGGGCCAACTCTATGGCGTTAAACACCCAAAAGGAGAGTATAACCAAAGACTAAAGGGGCCAATATAATTTTTTAAGAGTCCATATGTATATCTAAAGGCTACATAACAAGCAAGAATGCAAGATAGGAGATACCTTCTCAAGAGTTGTTGGCCAGTGTGGCCCAAGAGACTCCCAGATAGTAAACCAGCATAGAACTAGGCAAATGAACAGGAGACCCCAATATTATCTAAAGGAGTAAACACACACACACACACACACACACACACACATATATATATATATATATATACTTTAAATTAGTATTAAATGCATGAGAAATACTTCTTTCCTTTTGGGACTACCAGTTATACTTAGGAGGCAAAATAAACAAGAAAATGTCACAGATTTAAAACAAAGTTTAATCCTAATATCTTTTGAAATTTTATTTATTTACTTTTATTTTATATGTATGAGTGCTATGCCTGCATGTTTGTAAATGTAA